GGCGGCGTGGGACACAGCTCCGGAACAGCAAGAAGAAGCGAGCTGCGGCGTTGAAGAAACGGCTCAAAAATGGTCGACGGATACATGACGATAGCGGCGGGTGAAGACGATGTGGCGCTGAATGATATTTGCGGCTGTTTCTTTATTAGAACGTTAAATATATACGTCAAAATATCTCGCATCGATATGCAGCGCGCAGTATCTCAGTAGCCGGGGATAATTAGAATATATATGTTTTCTTCGCCTTCTGTGTTATGGTAGCAGCAGGGTATATATTATTTAGGGTTGATTAGCCTGGCTGCTACATACCATACCCAAGCTATATGCAATTCAAGGTGAATTAGACGGCGAAAACTTAATGCATTTTATTTTAGCTGGGTTTAGATTTTTAACTATATCTACATTCTACTCTCGTTTTCGCAAATAATTTAAATAAATATTTCGAAGATTTACCGTTCATTAGATTAAAAGTAATTATAGTTAACGTTTTTTTTTTATCTAACACAAATTTATTAATATAAGTTTCTTTATACATGCAAACTGCATGACCTGATACCTAACTAATTGTGACTACCAGCGCCCATGAACAACTGCAACACTAGGGGAAAATTGCAGATGTGTTGCCGGCCTTTAAAAAAGGAGTAGGCTCTTTTCCTGAAGGTAGTAGGAAGTCGTATTGGCACAGAAATCTCTGGTGGTAGTCGATTCCACAAGAAAGTTGTGCGAGGAATAAAACTTTTTGTTAGTCGCACATTGGTATAGGTACCATCCAGATGGTTATGATCAAAAGTGCGTTATAACATGCTCCTACTCTGATAAATAAATTAGTAAAGAACTAACGTGATTAATAAAAATACATAAAGCAATAAAATAAAGTAATTTCGGTAAATCATTCATGTAAACCTTTCACGTAAAGAACCCCTTTCTTTGTTCGCAATCCTCATTCCAAGAACAATGATCGAAAAAGGGATTAATTGAGGTTTACGTTGGAAATTGGAACTAATGTTGTATAGTATTGGGGAAATTGATTTTAGGTTAAAATAATCTGGGTTGTTTTCACAAAATAAAAAAAGTACAAGGTCGGTAAGAAAAAATCATAATTTTTTCAGTATTTGGTAAAGACAAGAGTAACTTAAGAAATCTTTTGATCAAGAAATTACTAAAAAGTCATAACCGTTACCTTCACAGCTAATCGAAAGTCTTACAGTTGGACATAGGCCTTCCCCATAGATTGAATACCAGCGTAAAATAGCAGCTTAGTACTGCTGTGTTTCGTATGGTGAGCGCAGAGATCCGGAGATCCTTTTTTACTCGAAACGAAGCACACCATCTAAGTACTCTGCGGTGACGACGCATCTGCGTTTTGATTCTTAAATTGACTATAAATGTCGATGTCCATGAGCCACAGCATTCGCTTACCATCATGTGGCCTGTGTGCTTGCTTGTCACTCTTATTCTATTAAAAATAAAAATAAAAAGATTGCCTTATTGCCAGTTGAGGCAAATACTCCCTATTATTTGCCTCAACTGGCAGGCGGAAACAACTAAAGCTTTTATTGATTACTTGTTATTTAAAAGACGCTGCTGCCCATATCCTGCTTCTTTTCCCTTTGTCGTGTCATCTCTTACGACACCCACGGCACGATATGGGATAGTGGATATTCGGCGGTGGGTATTACAATCACAACCACACGGTCAAAGTTTTATCCAATAAGAGAATTAAAAAATTTCAAAACGCTGTTTTCGTTTTTGTATATGTGTATCGATATTTATAGATGTTAATGTTGTCCACCTGATGCTAAGTGGATACTTTGGCCCATGGACATCGACATTTATTGTCAATAAGGAATCAAAACGCAGATGCGTTGTCAGCCCTGAGGACTAAAATGAAATGCCTCGTTTTCAATAAAAAGGGTCTCCCGTTCTCTTCACTCACCGTACGAAACATAGCAGCATTAAGCTGCTATTTCAAGCCGGTATTCTGTGAGGGCGTGGTTTTTCCGCAATCAAGTCGACTCATTCGTGCTACAACCATATTAATAATAAATGCAGCATGGCTCTATCACTACACGAATTCATTTTTAGTATCAATCCCAAAATAACTACTGTACTGTACTGTACTGCACTGTACTGTACTGTACTGTTTGTGAAGTTATCAGATCATAATCAACGAATAAATTTTCCCTTCGAATAACTTTCCCTTGAACTCTATTAACGAAATACCAATGTTCGGAGTGAGAAACATTTCGCAACAACCAAAGACTCTTGGAGAAATTCCACAAAAGCCAGAACGTTCGATAATGTTCTAGAACGAAGCGACGCGGTCCGAAAATGTCGTTATGAGTTTGAAAACAACAGTTACCTAATGCAATTTGACTTAATTTCATGTTCAAAGTTTAAGCTATTGCAGCAATAGCTTTCTTGTTGAATAAGTTTCGTTTTTAAATTAAACATCCGAATCCGATGTACAGCTGTACGGTTTAATGACGAAATTTGATATATCACTCAAGAACATATAAATGGAAGTATGGAAATCAAATGGCATGGTTACGTTAAAAGGATCCAAGCCACAAGGAGACACTGTTGAGGTACTTTCTATTGAAATTTGAATAAGTAATCATGGATTTTCTTTCGAAATTAAATGATAATGAATAATCAGTGACAATTACTTTCTTTAATACTACTAAATTTTACTGCTGAGTATAGTCCTCTCCCATAGATGGTTTCAGGGGGGGGGGCTATTTGCCATAGTTGCCACGCTTGGCAAGCGGATTGGCAACCGCAGTTTTTTATGCTGAGTTTAAGACGCTGCTGCCCGTCTCCTGATTTGTTCCCCTCTGTCGCCTCTTACGACACCCACGGGATGATATGGGGTAGTTGATATACTTACACCGCCAGCACATGGTAAATGACACATTAAAGTAAGTCACATGACTTTAATGAGTTTGAATTTTTTTTTAATATCGACTGCAACTATAACATATATTTTTTAGTTTCCGAAACTAATACAGAATAGAAAGATTAATAAATACTTTGGTTAATTATAATTTTAACGAACGCGTAGTGACTGTAAGGATGTCCGTTATGGTGTCACGGTAGAGATGTCAGAGGGAAACTGAAACAGGAGATTGGCAGCAGAATCTTCCTGATAACAATATAAAATGATAAAAAATCTGCAGCTGCCAGTCCGCCTGCCAAACGTACACCTACCCCATTTTTGACCCGAATGAATGTTAATCTTTTTTGCATAACATTCACAATTTCTGGTATCGAATATCTACCATTATCATAATTGAATGTGTAAATAATAAGTTTTCCTTTTAATTAAAGGTGCTCCCGCAACGAACAGGAAAACAAAACAACACTAATTCATAAATCCTACATTATATTGTATTTTGTTCTTGAACTGCATAAAGCAGTACGATTTATAAATTTCAACCTTAGCGTTTTGCCTTTACAAATTAAAATCGTTAGTTTTCAGTCGATTTAATTAAAAACAATATTTCATCATAAGTTAGTTTCAGGACAAATAGAGTGTGCATAAGAATTAAGAGCTCGGTGGCTTTTATTAGAGTTAAAAGAAAAAAGAACTAAAAATATTGGTAGATCAAATAACTCATGATATACGACTTTATTACAAATAGTGGTTTATATTTAGTTTCAGATTTAATCTAAAATATGTTACACGAAATAGCTCCGGCAGAAATATGAGAACTAAAATAGAAAGTATAGAATTTGACGGCAAATGTCAAAAATCTCGTAAGTGTGGCGCCGCGGCTTAGGGACTTTTTTAGTTTTTTTTTCTTCAAATCAAATCACTTATTTCGCTAAAATATGGGTACAGACGGATGGATACAGAGTCAACATTTGTTTCCACATGTTTTGCCCTTTGTGGCATGCGTAAAAATTGTTTAAAATGAATATGTTAAAAACAAATTAAAATTAAAAAAAAATTAAATTAGAAATAAACACTTTTATGAATTTTCTTTATCTTTTATAAACACTTTATAATTATTTATGTTTTTAGGTAAACATAACAAAATTAGAAAATTTAATTTTTGTTCATTTGAGAAGTATCACGCAGTTAGAGAGGCAGTCATGAATACCCCGTTGGTCTAGACATTACTGCCTCGTTAGTCTGTTGGTCTGGTTCTGCTGACAATGAGGTCCAGGGTTCGAAACGTGGGTCGGGCCAAAAACAAAAATGAGTTGAATTTTTCTGTTAAGAAATCTCTCAGCCGATGTCAGAAAGTAGGCGGTGTTTCACACCCGTGCCTAGAAAAGCACGTAAAGGTCGTGTCGCATTGCCGTCTCATTGGACTTTGAGAGTGAAGTAATAGAGAGTGCACCTGTGTTTCGAGCACTATAATCCTGTCTTCCTCAGATAGCTAGTATCTTATTGAGTGTAGAGGTAAGGAGTACACTGTATAAAAAAGTGTCCGTAGGAAAGCGTTAAATAAGGGTGGCGCCACTGTAGCTACAGTCTAAATTTTAACAACTTTTTATAATTTTCTTATTGCACAGACTCACCATAATTCTTTTTACAATAATTATTTTATTGCTTTCAAACATTTTATTTTCAAAATCACTCTCAACGTATTTTACGACGATTTATCATACCCTGTAGCTACTCGAGTGCTGTTATGAACCGAGAGTTTTTGAACCGTTATTTACTGCTTACAGATGGACACATTTTCAACTATTCTCATAAGGGATATTGTCTTCCTTACCTCTATACTCCATGTAGTATGTGTTGAGACTGATCGCAATGTCCGAAATTCGGTCTTTTCTTAAGGGACTATGGAAAAAGCGCATTTTGTAATAAGGTTACAGTGACTTATAACAAGCGTGTAGAGTTTCACAAGTAGAGTTATCGAAAAAAGATTTGGTCATCTTAGGTGAATATTTGTAGCTCTAACGATATTTTTTTTAAATTATGGCTTAATGAGACAAAATTGAAAGTGGTGCGGAAACTTCAAACAAAAGTAATTTTGACTTACTGTAAGGTTGGGGTCTTCCTCCGGTATACTGTGGTGACTGGAGAAGCGGGGCGCTCCGTTGAATAGGCTGAGCATCTTCCGTCACTGCAAACAATTTAATAATTAAATAAAATAAACTCACATATCATAGATTATATTTAAAAAAATCGTACCTTAGACATTTATTCTCGATTGAGAATCAAAATCCTGATACGTTGTCACTTCTGAGGACTGGATGTTTGATTTCTTACTGTTAACGTTACAGCCTATTAAGAGTCCACATACCGTAACCATATATACCATAACATAGGCATAGAGATTGCCTCATATGAGGTATATTTGCCACAGTTGCCACGCCTGACTGGCGAATTGGCAACCGCAGGTGTTTTTAGTTGTTATTAGGAAGACGCTGCTGCACATCTGCTGTTTTCTTTCCATTTGTCGCCTCTTACGACACCGACGGGATGATATGGGGTAGTGGATATTACACCGCAACTGTACGGTCTAATTGGTTTTTAAATAGTATAAAATTCAAATAGTTTTAGTTATAGCCCAGCTCAGTTCAATAAAGAAAGAGATAAAACTATGCTCAACTTCATAAAATCTTTCTTCTTTCTTTCTTTCTCAGCCCGTAAAGTCCATTGCTGGACGCAGACATATGCAAATGGTTTAGATGTATATGTGTGCCTGCTTGCGGGTTCTTGCAATAAGTTGAGTAGGAGTTACTTTTAAATTACTCTGTACAACTCGCGGCATGAAAGTCTAGCGGTGACCGTTATTGCACGTAATTGGCCATATAGCGCATTACTGCGTATGATTGACTGTGCGTATCGTTCGCACGCGCTGATTGGCTCTCCAGTCGCATTCCGTCCTCCATACTGACACGACATTTGCAGCCTTTTCCTTCCACGTTTCGTTCAGCGCTAGAGTTACGTGCCGCGACTTATATAAAAAGGAAGAAAGCTTGCCTATTTCATAAACGTCCTGTGAAATTAACTTACGCCTTTATACTTAAAAAACATAGATTTTTAAAGGAAATGTTTTATGAATCTAATAACTGTAAGTGATATAATTATGCCATTCAATGTTAATTCAACTTTTATCTATTTAAAACCAATATTTGAGAAAATCATTCCTAAATTAAAGAACACTTTTATACATGGTAGAGCGACGCTGCAGCTATATTATGGCTGGATTTCTAGTAGTATGGTAAGTGTAGAGATCCAGAGATCCTTTTTACTGGTAACGAGGCATTCCATCTTAATCCTCAGGGGTGACAACGTATCTGAATTTTAATGTCTATGGGCTATCTACTAACCATCAGGTGGCCTGTGTGCTCGTTTGTCTCTCAATAAAAAAAGTCAAAATTGATGCCGAAGTAGAGAAATGTATTAATAAAATCAAAGTATTTAAAACTATAATATATTCCTCGCACGAACATTGTATAAAATATATCGATAGTTAAATAGTTAATCATGCTCAAATGAACTGAATAAGATATACACATGAAGTCAAATATTTTGAAAACGGAAGCTTGATATTTGTCAAATCCGAATTTAATATTTGGGAAATCCTATATTTTAGAAAGCAATTAACGTAAACAAATACATGGTAAACCGTTCCTTGGAATCTACTCCAACGCTTTGGACGAAATTTTGTGTTCATATTATGTTTTACTTACAAAGTTTATCAAGAAAGCTCGTCCCTGTGATAATGTTTTCTTCTAACACCGAGCAAAGTTTTGATCAAAGGTTCTTAATATAATATATGATAGACAACATATTATAAGGATACAACCCAATTTCTAAGTTATTTCCGTTTTTTTTTCTAACGCCAATATTCTAACGAATGGTGCAACATTTTCTTCAGTAAGGTTACCTTGTACTACAGGTAAGGGCTTTTCTAATTTATTTCAACAGAGATATTGTATTTGAAAATAAGTTATAAACTGGACTGAAAACGATGCATTCCATCTAAGTCCTCAGGGGTGACAACGCACCTGCGTTTTGATTCTTAATACACACAGAATGCACTTACCATCAGGTGGACCGTATGCTCGTTTGTAACAAAAACTGTGCCAAACCTGTGGATCGTGCGGGCGGTTAGCTAGAACGGTAAATATGCCACGGACTTGTATGAAATAAAGTTACATACTTATCCAAAATAAACTTCAAATCACGTTGACAAAGTGCTCACATAAACAATGACAGCGTTTTCTTAGTCCTATTAAATAAAACCAGTGTAAGATTGTCGGAAACAACGTTTGCGACTAACAAAATTAAAAAATAGTCTCATTGCCCGCTCGCAGTCGACAGAAGTTCCGGAGAATTGACCGTAAATTATTGCGGCCAATGCCCATCTCGTAGTAGTAGGAGTCTTTGTAACGCATTAAGATAATACAAATAAAAAATTAAACATAAAATTATTCTCCGTAAAAAATCTAAAAAGATGAAAAGCTTTAGAGCAGATTCCGAACCAACGGCTAATATTTAAATTGGCACAAATAAAATGAATAATTTAAAAAGAAATTTCCACGTGAAATAGAATCCTTTCAATTCAACGCCTCGTTCAGCGCAGACCAAGATAATAAAGTGATATATAAATATTATTCTCTCGACGAATTGGAGATCATTTTTCTGAAGACAAATTACTCGGAGAAAATAACACCGCGGCCCGAGGCGAGGCTCGCGGTGATAAAAAAGTAGATTTATTGAATGTAAACATTTGATTCATTATAAATGAATAATTTTTTAATATTATGCTTGCAAATATAACAAATAAAGATGTTGTAAAACGAATTTGATGGATTTATAAATATGTATTAATTTGCGGTAATTTCATAGAAGAATGTAAAAAAAGTTAATAAAGTGTTGCCAGTACTACATAATGAATTTGTATTAAACTGTATCATGTCTGAAATAGACAAACTAATGGTAATAAATTTGACGCAGTATTTTTCAAGTATATGTTATAAATATTGAACTAAACATTTTATTAAACGAGTACAAAACGTGGAGATAAATAAAGAATAAAGGTGACAAACGAGTACAAAGTCCACCTGATGGTAAGTGGATGCTGTGGCCCATAGACATCTACATTTTTCTTTAATTAAGAATCAAAACGCAGATGCGTTGTCATCCCTGAGGACTAATATGGAATGCCTCGTTTCCAGTAAAGGGTATTCGATTCTCTACACTCAACATACATAGCATTGAGCTGCTATTTTGTGAGAACGTGGTCCTACCCCGGTCTAGCTGACGGATTCCTGCTAAAACCATAATTCAGCTGCAGCATAGCCCTACCACGTACATATGTAGGTTTTAAATCTTTTTTTTTTTAATCTATAAGCATTATTTTTTTTGTGATATTTATAAGCATCTCGAGTAGCGTTATAACGAGTTATGAGAATATTTTATGATATGTATTTTATTTAAAATAAAATCGATATTGGAATTAAACATTATCTTCCCTCTTAAAGCTTTGGCTTCTTACATGATAAATGACTGACAACTCCTACTACTTAGATTATTTGAATAGGTATGAGACTGATTTTTTTTACTGATATCGACACTACTTATTGAACATGCAGTTCTTGTGAAATATTTTATGATATGTATTTTATATAAAATCGATATTGGAATTAAACATTATCTTCCCTCTTAAAGCTTTGGCTTCTTACATGATAAATGACTGACAACTCCTACTACTTAGATTATTTGAATAGGTATGAGACTGATTTTTTTACTGATATCGACACTACTTATTGAACATGCAGTTCTTGTGATTCTCACGAGTAAAACATGAAACTGTAAACCGGTTGACAGTACCAAAAATAAGCGCGTATGACTAAAACGATGGAGCAAAAGATGTGGAAGTAATCTTAGATAAATCCGATGATGTTGAATTAATAAAGGAAAAAATATTGACAAAACAAGTTTATGACGTAGTAGGGCTGAAATTTCATCTCGACAAATCCAAAATTCCTCGGATAGCATTCCGTTATTTATTTATGGGAATTTCGCGAGATATTGTAAAATACACAAAAGATTTTCCCTTAAGCGGAAATCTACGAGGGGTTTATTTAGGTCAATCTGATTTAGTACCCAAAAATAAATACGTATAATAATGTAACTTGTACAACAGAAATAATTTTAATTGATTCATCACCGTGTAGCGGCAGCTTAAAAACAAAATCTTTAGAACGTATAATTGTTAAATAATTAAAATATAATACATCTATACGTATTTCCTATAAAAATTAAAGGTAAGCTTAGTGCGGAAATGCTTTTGCCAACCCAATCATTTTTATAAAGAACAGCGTGGGGTATAAATCAGAGAATTCCACGTAGAGTAATCGCTACAAGAGGTAACAGTAGCTAAAAGTAGGCTCTTGCTTCTGACGTGGAGTGGGTTGCTTTGAACAATCGCCGAGTACTCGTATTCGGTTTTAAACGAAACGAGGACTGCTGAATAATAATAATTGCCTCTTATGTTTTACATTCGCGTTGCGTAGGAGATTCCACCAACTCATATCGTCCTGTGCGCATCGTTAGAATTAACGGATAGAAATAAATCAGGAGACAGGCAGCAGCATCTTCGAAATAGAAATAAAAAAATAAAAAACTGTGGTTAGTAACCTGCCTGCCGAGCGAGCCCCCCATGAGGCAATCTATAGGGAAAACAACACAAAATAATAAAAAGCTGCGGTTGAGTGTCTTAATAAATATTAAAACATAATATTTCTATTTTATTTATCAGAAAGCTATACAATACTTAAATACTTTTAAGATATTACAAACAATAAACAAAAATAAACCAAAAACAAGATTGTCCAATGCATCCTGTAACATTTGCTACAAGTGTTAAATTGGTCATTACCATACGTGTAACCCATATGGGAACCATTAAATAACTAGGTTATATCATTCCGAGTTTGATTTTCAATTTATTCAAATACATTCAACAAATCAGTTGAAATGATAGCTGGAATGACGTCATCGGATGCAGTGCATTAGGAAAGTTTATAGTACTTATTATTACTTAGTGACCGACATAGCCGAACGGATTAGTAAGCTGAAGTGGCAATGGGCCGGCCATATAGCTCG